TTTAATTCGATCAAATATTTCTAATGCTAAATTAGTTGATCTTGAAGATGATCTTCAATTAACTTCGGGTCAATATCAATGGTAAATAAATTCATTTTCGTTTACTAAAATATATTTATATGATTGGATTTATCAAGGGCATTATCTATTTTCTTCTTCGGATATGTTATCTTCGAAGTTCCATCAAATATTATTCTTCGAAGATGGCAACCATCAAAATGGTTATCTATAATTCATATATTTCTCGGTACTACTTATTTTATTCGCTTTAGCCTCGCCTCCGCCTCTCAGAATTGATTTACCACTTAGAACGAACCATTCGGGCTGAAACTTTCAGGAATGAATAGCCCAGTGAGAAACACTTGTAGTAAAAATATCAACCTGATATATCCTATTAGAACGAACTTCCGACCTGTTTTTATGGCTTTTCGGAGAATTGAAATAACTTCATTGTTATAAGAGATACAGAACTCGTGCTGATTTCAAATTAAAACTAGCCTCTGTGCACAGCTTTTCATCGAGTAGAATTTTGAAACTCACTTCCATTCATTTTTTATGAGCATTTTTCTCGTCTGAAAACCGTGTTTTGAGAAAAACTCTAAAGAAGATTTAGAAATCAATTTTTTCATTCAAATCCAAAAAGAAACGTACTACATTGGTATATTCACAATATATGTCAGTGTAATTTTTTAAAGCACATAAAAATGATTTAAACTATCACTGTCGGTCATATTTAAGTGAATATAATGATTTATTCAAAGCTGAAAGAAATAAAAGACAGCTTTTTCACAACTGGAAAACTTTGAAAAAAACAGAAAAGTTTCTAAAAAAAACATGATAGGAGAGTCGAAATTAGTTTCGAAAGTCTCTTAAAATTTGGTTCTTTTCCAAAAACCTATATATATTCTGAAAGCGGAGATTTCGCTACATCTTCCTATGGTAAAAATTCAACTTCAAGCTTTTTCCGAAAAATTGGATTGTGTGAGGAGGGACCCCTTAAACCTACATATAACTATATATATTGTTTTAATCTGAGAGGTATTGTTGCAATATGTATGGGCGCTGTTAAAAATGCTTCTGGTCTACTTGTATGTCGCTTTTTGTTGGGTACGTTTGAAGCTGGTTTATTTCCTGGAATTATTTATTTTACATCTCTATGGTATCCAAGAAAGCAACAAGCTATTCGGCTTGGTTTATTTTGGTCATTTTCGGCACTTTCAGGTGCGTTTTCTGGTGTTGTTGCTTATGGTATCAGTCAAATAAATTCAGTAAAATTAGCTAAATGGCGATTAATCTTTATTGTAAGATTCTCATGAACAAAAAAGATCTAATATTTATATAATTGCCTTTCTTGCATAGTTGGAAGGAGCTCCGACCTTTGTTTTAGCTTTGTGTTGTTGGTTTTTATTACCGGATTCGCCAGAAGCAGCAAAATTTTTGAATGATGAAGAACGTCAACTTGAAATTGATCGTCTTGCTAAAGATGCCGGTCCAACAAAAGAACGTAAATTTTCATGGTCTCAAGTTTTATCTGTATTTACTGATTGGAAGACTTATATTTATGCTATCATTTATATTACCGGAACAATTGCTACACAAGGTATAACTCTTTCTTTACCAGTGATTATTAATAATTTAGGAGAATGGACATCTCTTCAAGCACAATTGATGACTATTCCATCATATATGGCAGCATTTTTTGCTATTCTCATTGTTTCTTGTAGTTCTGATTAGTGAGTCAACTTTTATTATTTTCAATACGGTAATTAAGGTATTTTCTATAGTTTTATGGAACGTTCTCTTCATTGTTCTATTACAAATCTCTTATCGATATGTGGTTTTCTAATGCTTATGTTAATTGATCACAAAAGAGTCGGTGCACTTTATGTAGGCATTATATTTGCTGCAATCGGCACTTATGCCAATGTCAGTGTTAAGATCGCTTGGTTCAATAATAATTTGTGAGTCTTGTTCTTTTTTTATGATATGATTTGTTTTTATCTACCTAAATCTTGATATGTAGTGCTTCACTTACTCGACGTGCTATCGCAGCTGCAGTAATCGTCTCGATTGGTACGAGTGGTGGAGCTATAGCAGGTCAAATATATCGAGCTAACCAAAGACCACGATATTTTATTGGTCATACAATTTCATTCTGTTGTGTTGTAGTGCAAACAACATTGGTACTTATACTTCGATTTATATTAATGATAATTAATTGCCGTCGAAAACGAATGAATGATGAACAAATTAAACAACAAGTAGAAAATTATGGAGGAGAGGAATTTGTCGGTGATCATCATCCTAAGTTTCGATATACGTTGTAAAGAAAATGTCATTTCTCTTTTTTTCTATTGTGTATATATGTTGTTTTATCTCGTTCATTCTATACCTGCTCAATATGTAATTTATTTTCTTGTTCAAAATTTTATTGTGAAATATCATTCTTGATATAGACCAGAATGGCATAATTGCCGAAAGCTATGTAAAAATGATGAACAATGTCATATATGATGAAAATCACTTGTTGGTAAAACTATAGTTGCTGTTCAAAACTTTACGCAATCAAAAAGATTATATAATATGATATGAACCTCCATCAATCTGAATCAATTATCATTAGTTTTGCATTCATAATACATAATTAATGTGGAAGAACGATAACAAATTTGCACGATCAATGGGGCAAATCTTTTATTCTAATATTATTTCGTTTTTGGAAAACAAAAAGTGTAGAATTAAGCAATGATAATAGTTTGTTTTCAGTGATGCTAGTGTTCAGTCATACGAGAGTTATTGATTAGTCAGTTTTTTAACTATTCAGTGTCCAGAGAAGAGTTGAAAGAGACTGTCCGAACATGTAAAAGAAAATCTATAAAGTTCATATTCTATTTTTTTTTCTGAAAGTTTCATGATATGCTGAATGACATTAGAAAGGATCCATAAGTACAGTTTTTTTTTCATCGTTGTCTTTTAATATCATGCATATACCTCTATGATTATTTCAAAATAATAAATAAACATTATAAAAAATTTATTTTAAAATATTTTCCTTGAACACGATACTAACTTCGTACATCTTATATATAAAAAATCTCTATTGAAACAAATATTTTTATCTTTTTCACATGCTCATTATTTATTTCAATTGCAAAATAAATGATAAGTAATTTAGATTAATACAGATAAATGTTATACATATTTTGATTGCGTAAAGTTTTTAATAATACTTACAAATGTATCAAAAGATAATTTCTGTCATATTTGACATTTCCCGGTACTTTTCCAAACTGTCTGCAATTACCCAACTTTTCCTCTGTGCATTTGAAACTACCATACATGTTTAAATTTCATACAACTTTTAAGATCTACTAGAAATAAAGCTAATGAACGAATTTCAGCAGTCGGTTCTTGATTATTTTTAGCTGAGCTCGTAGAGCCAAGAGTTAGGAGATCATCCGATTTATGATTTCGATCGGAAACGATGAAAAAAATGTCTAAATTATTCTGATTCGTTTAGATTTACATCCGAATTTATGTGTTCTTTTAGTAGTGTCAAAACAGAAAATAAGGATAGACTTTAATGTGTACACAGAGACGAGTGTGTGTCATAGCTCTTTCGATGATGCTCGGCTTCCCAACGCAGTGATGCAGATATCGAAAGTTAGTTACACGGGCAAATTTTTTATTAATTTTTCACTATTTCAATTTAAATTTTAAGTTTGACATGTGTAACAGATTCCGCTGTACGAAATGATGTATCGAAAAAGACATAAAAAAAAGATATACAGTTTTGGATGTACAGAAAAAAAAGTATCATAGCTAAAGTATGTTTGTATTTAAGATTTAATCGTATTTTAGATTTTTCTCTGAAGAGACTTGGTTTTTTTTTTATTGACATTTTTCAAAGAAATCACACAGCAGATTATATGAATATCAGTTCTCCATTTCAAAAACGCAGAAAAAATTTCAACAATTGTCAGAATTATTATAGGTTCAAATGAAAGTGACTATCTACTTTTAATTATGATCTTGTTCTTTATTCAATGAACAACTTTCTGAAAGGAAGTAAAATATGGAAAAATACTGTTTAGAGTTTTGCTGTACTTTTTTGTTGTTATTTCATGTTTCATTTTGATATTGCGTCGATGAATCAGTTAGCGATTGATATTTTTAAATAAATATTTGCTGATATTTTATGACAAGCTCAACACTTCTGGACTAATTCACTCTTCTCACCTTTTTTTTTTAAATTTTATTTGTTTGTTAGTGTTTAGAAGATAGTAGTACCACTATACTTTGCTTATCACTTATTAGCATTCAAAAAAAGTATTTATATTAAAGTGAGATTGCTTTTTTAAAGTTTAGATTGCTTTCTTTTGCCGTTTATTACGCGAAAATTAATCAAATAAATAAAAATTGTAAAACTCTGTCACTTTGCAAGACATCATGTAATTTTGTAGGAATGTATTTATATTTGTAAATATGACAATGTCAACATATGTAAAGAAGTCATTTCTTGATTGGCATGAAGAATCTAATTATGAAAAACAAAAAAAAAATGAATATTAACAAGAAGTATTGAAAGACATCAAACTTGTTAGATCCAACTGGTTTAACATTTGATGGTGTTGGAGAAGCCGAAGTCTGATCAAAATTCATTCTAGATGATGCATTGTTGGAAAACGTCGACTCTTTTCTAATTAATGTTTCATCACCGACTTTCTCTTTGCCATTTAAACTCTTGCCAGGTACCATATAACTATTAAACACTGTCAGGCCTGCTCGTAAATTGTGTTCTTGTGATTGTTCTTCTTTTAAAGACATCGATTGCTGTTCGTGTACTCGTAATCTGTGATGAAACTAATAAAAAGTAAGATACTGAATTCAGAGCAATTACAGAAGCAAAAAAGAAATTCACAAGAAAAGAAGCCGTTTAAACCGTTTAATCAGGTGTTTTTTTTGTTTTATATGTGCAGCTTTAAATTTATAATATCTTTCTTCAGTCAATAAAGACACTCCTTTCACCTGTTGCCACACAACGAAAGAAAAATAAGAACGCGAATGAGTTTGATGTCCACATTGTCATTTGCACACTTTTTCATTCGTTCGTTCTATACTGCCTTGCTAAACAAAAAAAAACAAGATTCTTTGTCTTGATTCAGAGTAGTGTCTGGTATATAAATATGATGATTCATTTGTTGTTTTTGAGACAAAATCTTAATAGTCAAAAACGAAAAAAAGAACGAGAGACGGAAAAGACTAGTAGTTATATCAGACTTTTTATTCTAATAATACACATGATCTGTAGGAGAGATTTTATTAAGATAAGCCATAAAGAACAATTGACTACGAATTAAGCTTTATCCTTATTTTACTTTGAAAAAGTAAAGTAAAGTCAACTTAAAAAACAACATTTTTCATATATAGGTAAAAAACCGACCTATGTCAATTTTACCTGGTACAGTAAAGATTAAGTATCACCTCTATGATTGCCTTCATCATTCGCTAAAAGCCCAAATGTATCATAACATTATTAGTCAATATTTACGTAATAAAATTCTTTTATTTATATCAAACGTCTGATGTGTTTGAAAATAAAACAGTAATAAAATGAAAATATATACATGCAATGAAGAAAGTTTTCCTTTATATGAGTTTCATCAACTTGATATTCTACTAGTGATGAATTTGCATTCAATAGATAACCATCAACTAAGGCTAAACAGTTGTATTATCAAGTGTTTCAGTATATCATCCACCAATGACCACATTTGTTTCATATGGAAAAGCCATATTTACTGAATTGATAGATCTTGAAATATTAGTCGTATTGAAATAAAAATAAGAAAAATTGTTAATAGTAATACTTACATTGATTGATGCTTATTTGGTACAATGAACAAAACTGTATTATGGACTAATGAGGCATCTAGTATCTGCTATGATATTCCTTTAGAAACGTGAATTAAAAATGTCATGATATTCGATTCATTATGCTAAAGTACTGTTATATATGCCATCTAATTGTCCAGAATATTCTATACATGTCTTTCAATCATCTCTAAAACGCTAACGTCGTCTAGTTCTTGAATTGAATTTTTATAACTCTAGTCTTCTAATTAGATTACAGATTTTTAGAAGCTAATTTTGTGAACTTGGTACGTATACAGATGCTTCATTGGTTATTTCTTGATTTGTGATTGAAGTTTCAAGACAGTCTTATCAAACGGAATCATCTTTGATACTTATTCGTATTAAAAACTATATGGATCTCAGTTGCCACTGAAATCAATACTTGTTACAACGAAAATAATCAATACCATGAAACATGGCGATTGTAATGTCAATGATATTGCAACTACCATATATATTTTACAAAAATGCTAAGAACTGAGAATAACGATTGATGCATTCGATTGCTTGAACAAAAGAGTCTTAATGCTATTTACATTTATTATGATTCAATAAATAATAAATAGCGTCTTTTAATGATCTTAATGATCTATTGACAAATTAACAGAGAAACTGATTTCTTCTTCTCCTTGAAAATAAAACACAATATCCGAAATAAATTCATTCATCGATTTCCAAATATGTCAGCTAGAAATACTTGGCTAACCATGAGTGTTAGCAAACTGATCAGATTTTTTCCATAGTGTTCAACTTTTGGAAAACATATAATTTCGTGATGGAATCCATGATTTCATTAACACTTCATTTAATAATGAAAAATTCTTTGTAGCCAATCAATTGGACGTATATTATCCAATATCATCATCGTTGATATGTAAATTACTAATGATGGTACGGTTTTTATTAACAGACAATGAAGAAATAGCAGCCGCAACTTCTTGGTTGTTGTCTATTTCGAAGTCATTGTTATTATGAGAATTATATAAGTTATCTGATGTTGATTGTTGTGAGACATATTTATCTATATCACCCTTAGATCTCTTGTTCAATACGAAATATGTACTAATACCTTTCTGCTTCTTATGTATTATTTTTGACAAATGTTCGCTGAAAAAATATTATGTTGATACTTTTATATCTGAATAATAAAGTAGAAGAAAGTACTTGTTATTATATGCATCATACACATACTTGCCATTAATTATAACAAAGCAAGTGTCGACACAAACATACAGTTGACATTAATTTTATGACAAATACGCTGATACAAATGTACGTTTTGTAACTTGATAGTGCAATTTTTTCTTAAGAGTAGAGAGGCTCGTTTCTTTCAGTTTCTTCTGTGTATATTGATGGAGTCGAGAAATAAATGTTTCTTTTCTGTTTCATGTGAGTGACTATTTTTTTTCCGCTTGAGTGATTTTTTACTTTTTCATGATATATTTTTCTTTATTGCGATGGAGAAGAAGGAAAAAAAACAACTAAAAGTATTTCAAACTGACAATTTTTAAAACAAGACAGATACAAAAGCAACATTTCATCAAACAACACAAGCACATAGTAGACAACGATTCACCAATATACCATATAAACTAGATTATTATATCTTTATCAACAGCAATCATGAGCAATCAAAAGCATGGTCAAGAAAAGTCTTTTAAAAACGGTAGTGTAATTTTACTTATTTGTATTGTGGTCTTCGACAAGTATAAGAGAATAAAATAAAGTAAATAGCCGCTGTGTTGTTCAAAGGCTACTCAATATTATAATGAATGTCATGGCGAACTACGTTTGCACTGCTCTTTCTCTTCTTAAATGAGCACTGGAAGATTCAATGAATACTGGTGATTCATTTTCAGCAAACTAAACGGATTTTCTGTGTTGGAAAGCCTAAAATACTATTTTCAATAAGAATATCAAGACAAAGAAAAACTTCCTAATGAACTTCTATATAATTTTTGATATCAAGTGCCATCGAAAAAAAACCTCAAAATTTTGAATCAAAACATTTATATCAGATCAAAAACCATGAAAGTGAAATATTACTGATTTAATGCAGATCAACTAGCTCACTGAGGACAATGAGAGCAATTATTTATTGATAATTATTCTGTGCACTGTCTTTCAGAATTAAGTTATGTTGGTGATAATAATAGTTCTACTTATTATAATAGAATTTTTATCTATTCTTGATGAGCTGGATGAAAAATTGACACATGCTTTCTTCATATAACTTTTAGTAGGCCGCATACAAAGATTCCTTGTGTATGATATGAGACTTTCCTATGTATAAAAAAATTTATTTCTAACAAAAATAACTTAATTAATCAATCGCAAAGAAATTTTCATTTTAGAAAAAAAATGGCTTGAGATGTTGTTTCATGGGAATGGAGTAATCAAGAGGCCTAGTGAACTGAAAAACGAATTGTGTGATCCACCAGAGCCGCTTGATAGAGAAACACTCAACCGTGTATACGGTTCAATGGCAGGCTTGGCTTTGGGTGACGCACTTGGTGCACATGTTGAATTTAAGCCTCAATCTTTTCTAGCCGTATGTCCGGTGGAAGACCTCGAAGGTGGCGGCACTTGGGGGCTCAATAAAGGAGAGGTAACTTTCTTCTATATGAATTTCATTACTACTGGCTAAATTAATGTTCACCAAAGCTTACATCATAGCTAAAACACAAACTAAGCTTCGGCTTTAAATTTTAACATTAATTGTACCTTAACTGTTTATCACATATGGATCTATCACCTACAAAATTTGTGGATAAGTTTTTTCAACATAATAATCACAAAGAAACTCTAATTAGTTTGAGAAGCAAAAAAACACTTCTACTATTTAAAGAAAGTTTTTTTAAGTTGATTTCTTCATTTTTTTTTTCAGCTTTAATCAACTAGAAATATTTTTGATGTGAGATATTGGATGTCGTTACATTTGACTTCAAATTTTTGAAGAGAAAAGTTATTGTAATACATAAAGTCTCAAACATTCCACTAAGCCTGCCTATGGTAGATATAGACCACCGGGTCTGTGTATTTTATTTTCTAATGTCACTATTTTATCTCAGTGAATTGAATAAATTGCTAACAGATAGATGTAGCTGAAGTAGTTTTCAAGGATGGCATTTTAAGATAATGAGTTAGATAAATATTTCAGAATGAGTATTGAAAATATTTATAAATAATAAAATTCATCAACATTTTGAAGAGTAGAAATTCAAAAGATCTATCAGTAACCGACTAGTGACCTGCAAGATTTCCATCTCTGCAGTATCCATTGCAGACATAAGATTTACAATAATATAAGTATTGAATTGACGATAAATACACTTTAAGATAGATAATATAATCCGACGTGGTCAACTACTAACAAAATGTCATTACATAATCTCTATAGATAGAGGTGAGTCATGCATCATGTTATTAAATTTATGTACCCCTAGCTCAGCTAAATATTAGTTATGACGATAGAGAAAAGAAGTAAAAATAGTAACTAAAGTGATCATATAATATATAGCCGACGTCCTAACTTTAGCACCAGTCAAGTGTTTGAATAAGTTGATATGATACAAGCAAGAGATCGGATAAGATAAATCGCCGATCAGCTGGTCTGAAATCCAAAGTAACATTGGCTTCATCTCTGCGTGAGAATTCATTAATGCAAAGTTTCATGTTTATCATTTCTTGCTCATTGTCTTTTTTTCCATCACAGTTAATTCAATTGAGACGGAACGATCTTTTTCTGCTTCAGGTTTAGCAATTACTAAACGCTATTCCTCTCTGGATCATCATACTGGAAACGACATTTTTGTCTCTTAGATTTATCTAAAATGCTCTTGAACAAAAATCAGATTTTTTTCTCAATATTACTATGATCTATTTCCCTACTTTTCTGTATACTATCACTG